CGTACAATGTGGTTAGATGTGCCCTTTTTTTTTTTTGAGCACCTGTCCCTTTAGTGGTCTCTGCACGGCCCTGCTTCTTACATGAAACACACTAATCAAACCTTTTATATAAATGAAACATATTTTCCTTCCCACAGTCGCCACACATGCTTTCTCAGGATGAGGAATTGCTGTATGAGTCACTGACTCAATGCAGTTACTTGGGTTTCCTTATGCATATTAGTAAAACAATTAACAAATATAAACTGAATTTGTCAGGACTGTATTATAATTAAGATTGAATTAGAAGCTATAGAAGTTAATTGGAATGAGTCTCTATGATTGGATTTGATTAGATATTTGTGGATATGAACTGGAGCTGTGTACATTGTAAACTGCAATGAAATTAAATTTGCTGGTCTCTGTCTGCTAAATAGATTTAGCAGAAAGGAAGAGCAGAAATCCAATTTGGTGTATCTCTGAACAACCCTCTCACAGGGAGATCTCAGATAATTGTAAGAGTGCTTGACACAAATCCAAGTTCAAGTTCAAGAGGTGGTAAACACACCTTAAAAAAGTAAACTGAGGACTATTCTTCCAGTTACATCTGTGTCTGGATTGCAAAGTTTTTATGGAAACATTTGAGGTTAAATATGCTCTTGTATTAGAGCGCCATCTTGTGGTGATTTATTATTTTATAAATAATGGCAAGAAATACATTTAACATTTTTTTAAGTTTCTTACCAACATTTTGAGAGATTCCTCCCTGCATCCCAAAAATCCCATTTTCACAATAAAACACGGGTAAAGGAAAAAAAGAGGCCATTTGTCACTGCAGCTTCATCTCTGATAATTTTGCAGCTATAAGAGGGAGACCAAGCTGTAAAAAAGATACACGGTTTCTTCTATAATTGGACGTGAAATATATTATATTTGAAAGTTAAAACAATTTTTTGGTGCTGTAGACGACGTGTTGGTGTACTATAAATATCATCTTAAATGTTTGACTATCCTTCTGCAAATACCTTCAGTTCTAGTTGAACAGGATTCCTGTGGCGCTAAAAGCAGCTTCCAGAATGTTCCAGTGTCAGAAAGAAAACAAGCAGCAGCAGTGAGTTTATTCTTATAAAATTCCTTCGTATCTAAGAGACCTTTGTTGTCTCATGTGGAAAACAAAGTTGAGACTTTTCAGTCAAAACATCTTTAATTCCTGGAAAAATGTACATCCATTGCTGAATCAAATAAAAAAATATTATTGCACAGAATTTCTGAGAATTGGGTTGTTCTGATTTATATCCTGTAAATATAGGATACAAGTCCTAAGACGAGAACTTAAACATATAAATTATATTTAGATATTTTGTCTGCAGTAAAAAACAAAAAAACTCTATTTAATCTAATGAAAGTTGCTGTTTTATTTTATCAATTTGTGAAATCATGATGACTCCTTTCACTATTCAAGCAGCAAGTGAACAGCTCCAGCAGTCTTCTCTGTTCCAAAACAAAAATGTTGATCCTGTGGTTTTCTGCATGTGTTAGGGGAGTTTGAATTTGGAAAATGTACATTTATGCTACATTTATTGAAGAGGTCTGATGAAGCGTATGATCAGGGTTGTGTTTGTAATGTTTTGTGTTTTAGAAGGAATATTTATTTTCACAAAACATAGATGTTCCAGAAATCTCATTCAAGATAAGGAGACTGTTTCCATATTATCTCATTTTCTCATCAGATTTTATTTTTAGATATTTTGTATGTTCTGCTACATTTTTATGTTTACATGTCTGAACATATAGAAGCTACCTGGACAATAATCCATCCACAACTCACTCTGTCTTTTCAAGTACATCTGAGGAAAATGTTTTTAGAGGTAATATATTTGAGTGATTATTGAAAATGTCCTCCTCAAATTCTTCTAGTACTTAGCTTACTTCAGTGGATTTATCCATTGTTGAATCAAATCTAAGCAGGCAATGTTGTAAATTTACAAAATTATATTTTTTGGAAAACCTTTACTTAATTTGTTTGTCATATGTATTTTTTGGATTTTTTAAATATTTGATAAATCCTTATTAATTCATAATTGTAAATTTCAGTTTTAGGCTTCTAACAATCTTTTATTTGAGTTTTTCTATTCTCGACTGTGTCCCACTTCTGTTCATTGCAGGAGTCACGTAACCTTCCAACATCAGATTGAAGTCCAACCTGAAGAACCTGTTTGCTGACTTGTTGTACAGGGAAGAGAACAAGGAAACACAAAGTATTTTTCATTTACCACTCAGTGTGGATGCATGTCTCTCATGGACACATATACGGTAATGTAACATTGGCTTTATTCTGTTTTATAACTTATATATGTGTATCTCATTACACTCATTACATACATGATTATAAATTTTCAGAAAATAGCTCTTATATGGAAACATTGTCAGTTTAGCAGAAACCAGCAAAAATACTGTCAGATACATTTAAATGTGTTGTCTTTCCTTTTCTATCCTGTGTGGTCAAACAGAAAATTGTGTTATAACTGTTTGAGAACTTTTTTTGTTCTGTCCTGAGGTAGAAATATAAGAAATGAAGACCTGTTTTATGGAGGCTGATGTGTTGAGGAAGCTCACATGCAATTTTCATCTGAAATAATAAATGCAAAGAAAAAGAGAATATAAATAACTCGCCATGAGAAGCACTATTTTTCTTAGTGATTTTTTTTTCTAGGAAGAGAAAAAACAAAAATCCAGACATTTTTTCTTTTACTCATCAGCAGATAATTATGGATCTGGGCCAGGGTTTATTTAATTAATGTCAGTGTCACAATTTTGTTGATAATGAAACCCAAGTACAGAACTGACTGTACTTGTTTTTTCATGTGGAATATCCAGGGCAACGTACAGAGGGAAATGCATGAAATCAGATCCAGACAAAATGACAGGATAACAGAAGAATCCAGGAACAAACGTCAAAAATTTAGGAGCTCAGATACTGGGGAGTGTGACTTACCATACTGGGTGAACCAAAAAGAAAAGGTCCAACAATTAAATGATAAAAAAAAGAAACAGAACAGTAGGATAAACCAGGAAACTAAACAGAAAGTTATAAACATATGTCACAGCACCTTATGAGCTAAATGTGGTAAGACCTGTTACACAAATGACAATAAAACCCAAATACCCAAGATGACAATCAGTGTATATAAAAAATAAATTTAAAAGGTGGCTGGGGGATAAAATAACAAGACAGAAGGATGAGGAACCTTATTGATGTAATGTATTTAGCAGTATTGTTCAATTTTCTCCAGATTTATATGAATTCACCTTTTGAGTTGTAAACTTCAGACATAGTTGTGTTAGGCTGAGGTCTGTGAGACGTTGATATAACATGAAGGAAGAACTGTAACTAATACAGTGTTTTGTCTTTCTGAAGGAAACTTTACAATGATCCAGTCTGAGGAAACCAAAGAGGCGTCTGTGCCCATGAATGATAGTCTGTCCTATGAAAACGGCACAGAGGTCGGACCTCAGAGGTAAGAGGATTGATTTAAGATTCTAATGTGCTAAACATTATGTGAAATAATTTTTGAATATAGTAGAGGCTACTAATTTGCAACAAATTGCATTTTGACTTGAAATATGAAAATGCTTGATTTGTTTCAGGAACGAGGAGAAAAACTCCACATCTGATTCACAGAGTCTTTCCCTGAAAAATCAGAAATCCATGGATAATCCTCTAACTTTCCAAAAGGAAGATGGAGCTTCAATGTAAATTAATCATACTTGTTAATTTGTTATATAGCCTTTCCATTTTTGTAAACACAATTTTACATTTTCCTTGTTTCAGTAAACTTTAAACATTTAGTCCTGCTTTTCACATTTTGCAAAAGTTTTGTTTATGTCTTTTTGGGTTTATCTTGGCTTTGTGGCTCTTTAGTCTTTCTGAATTTGCCTCGTAATTAGCATTAACATCAACATTATTGCCATGATGAGCAAGCAATAAAAAGGAGTTTTTTTTTCTTTAATTATGTAAAGCACCTTGAAATGCCTTGCTGCTGAAATGCGCTATACAAATAAAATTTGATTGATTGATTGATTCTAGTTATCCCATTTATCATAGTTTATTACCAACCTCAGAACTCATTATTCTGAGTGATATTTTATATCACTCCCTGTTTCTTTTTCTGTTTTCTGATCTACGTAACCTTCAGATTTTCTAATAGATCTTCTTTTTATGATTTCATAATATCTTTTTTACTCATTGCTTGAATTTTATCTTGAATTATTTTAGGACAGAGCAGACGAAGCTCCCCATGAAACAGAACAAATCCTTGGATTATCCAATTGGTTTCAAACAGTAAGGAATTTATAAACAAAGTTGGTTTTTTGGTTTTATTCTCTTTTGATAAAACATCTTCAACTGAAGTCCTTTATTTTGCTAATAATACTTTTTACAGTTTGATGCGGAGAACGATAAGCTCTCCTACACCAAGTGTTGTATCCCTGAAGAGCAACGACTCAATGGATTACCCTGTAAATTTTAAACGTTCTTCATTTTCAGGGTGAGTGAAATCTACTTTTAATTTTTTGAATTTTATCAGATATATCAAATGCCCTGAAGTCTTTGCAGAAACTCACAACAACATATTTACTTGTGTTTTTCCTCACGACTCTAAGTGATATTTTGTATTCTGGCTTCTTTTTATACTTCTGATTTTATTTACTTTTTTGTTGCTTGAATTCTAGCCGTCTTGAATTATTTTCGAACTGACTAAAGAAAGTTGAACAAGTCCCTAACCCAAAACTTGTTTTCCTATGAAAAATAGTCAATTCTTAAATTATTCACTTGGTGTCAAACAGTACAATTCAGTTTATTTTATAAATATTGTAGTCAACCATATTTGTCCTAGTCATTCATTTTGCCAATGTTACTTTTTTTTAACAGTTTCAGGTATAAAACAGGAAACTCTTCCACACCAAGCGTTGTGTCCCTAAAGAGCAACGATTCGATGGATTACCCCGTTAATTTTAAAGGTTCATCGTCGTCAGGGTGAGTAAATTCTGCTTTTATATTTAAATGTTATCAGAGTTATCAAACTGTCAAAAGTCAAAGCAGAAACTCTTTACACTATATGTAGTTTCTGAGTTGCATTTTCTACCAGTGTTCTTAATAATAAACTTAATGATATATTTCCATTTGACAACTTCTTTTTATAAACACAATTATAAATGTACTTTTCCTCTGCAGACTGTATCATACACCTGTCATAACTTTCACATTCAGTTTGTTTTACTAATTTCATAATCAAACATCTTTGTTTTTGTCATTTATTTGCCAATACTTGTTTTTCAACAGTTTTGGGCAGAAAATGGGAAACTCTTCCACACCGAGCATTGTGTCCTTAAAGAGCAACGACTCTATGGATTACCCTGTTAACTTTAAAAGTTCTTCATCTCCAGGGTGAGTGAACACTACTTTTAATATATCAATTTTATCAAAGGTGTTAAATATCCTATAGTGAAGGCAGAAACTAATTCAAATATGTTCAGTTTTTCAATTTCTATCAGAGTTTGTATTAATACACAGAGTATACTTACAAATTACAACTTTTTTTTATAAAGACAAGTCTACATAGTTTTTATAGACTTTATCAAAACCACATTTTCACAGATGTATGATTGTCTCAGTTTTGATTATTTCTTGTTAGAGCTACTGAAGATAAACTGTGCAAAGAGCAGGATTGTTGGCAGTGTGATTCAATAAATAATAGAATTGTGATGTAAATGAATGTCCCAATATTGAAGCACAAAAATCAGTTTTCCTATGATGAATAATAAATCCTTGGATTATTCACTTGGTTACAAAGACTAACATTTCTACAAATTCGGTTTGTTTTGTTCTGTTTTGATCAAACATTTTTATTCAAGTCCTTCATTTTGCCAAAGCTACTTTTTTTTCTTCTTCTTTTTTTTATAGTTTTGGGCAGAAAATGGGACATTCTTCTACACCGAGCAGTGTATCCTTAAAGAGCAACGATTCAATGGATTACCCCGTTAATTTTAAAGGTTCTTCACGTTCAGGGTGAGTAAACTCTACTTTTAATCTCTACATTTCATCACATGTATCAAACAGCCGAAGTTATTGCAACATATATTTAACTTCTGAGTTTCTCAGTTGCATTTTCTATCAGTTTTCTTAATAATATACTTAATAATAGATTTCCATATGAAAGCTACCAATGACAAAATATCTGCAGATATGTTGCTTATGTGAACTGTAAACAAAAGATTAAAGTTTATATTCTTCTCACTGAGTGCAGTTCATCACTTCTTGGTGACTCATCTTGGTAGCAGGAACAAGACATTTATAATGGATGTACAGCTCACTTACTGTTTCATTTTGCCAATGCTACTATTTTTTATCAGTTTTGGGCAGAAAATGAGAAACTCTTCTACACCGAGCGTTGTGTCCCTAAAGAGCAACGACTCAATGGATTACCCCGTTAATTTTAAAGGTTCTTCGTCTTCAGGGTGAGTCAACTCTGCTTTTAATCTCTGAGTTTTATTAGACATCATAGAGGCTAAGGTTAAGGCAGAAAGTCATTACAATATATCTGATTTCTATGTTTTTGAGTTGCGTTTTCTAGAAATGCCCTTAATAAGAAATTTTCACATTAAAACTCATTTTCATTAACAAAAAATAACATGTTTTTTTTCCCCAAAAAAATTCAAATAGCTCTTTTTACTCATTATAATGTCTTTTCTGATGGAAAACCTTATGAAGAGTATAATTATTGTTTTCCAATGATAAATAATACATCCTTCAATTATCTACTTGCCTGGTTTCCATCAGTAATATTTCTACAAATTAATTTTTTTTAATAAAACATTCTTGTCATTCATTTTTCCAGTGCTATTTTTTAACAGTTTTGGGCAGAATATCGGAAACTCTTCCACACTGAGCACTGTGTCCCTAAAGAGCGAGAACTCAACAAATTACCCTAATTTTAAACGTTCTTCATTATCAGGGTGATTTAACTTTGCACTATGTTCAACATCATTTTGGCCACTTCAAGTGGTTTGGCATGATATTTTTTATAAATTAAAGTATTAGGGTTTTCAATGCGTTAGGTACCTGTTTTTAGTCTTCATGCAGGCATACATCTATACACACATACTTACATTATATTTATTTACTTATTTGTGTTTCATGTTAAAACAAATTGCACACTTATGAATAATGACTCCACAGATCTGATGATAAAATACTAGAGGAGACCAGCAGTTTTCATGGAGACCTTCACAAAGTTTTTGAGGTAACTGTTTCAAAATTAAACGGACTGTGAAGCATAAAATATGTCTATTTATTTTTTAATAGTTATTTGTGTGCTAGTCCTTTTTTATCATTATATGTACACTAAAAATTATGTAACAGTTGAACATAAACATTTGTTTATTGATTAAAACCCGTGAGTGAGCCTCAAGGACATATTTTTGTCCAATTTCTTTGTGATTTTTTTTTTTTCACAAAAAAGAGGATAAGGTAAAAGCTGAGAGAGGAGACTAGACAGGTATGCTGAGGGAGAGAGAGCAATGGATCTGCAGGAGAAAAGGAAGAGCAAACAATAACTGGGGAGCTGGCAAAACATAAAACAACCCAGGACAAAATCAAAAACACTTTTCATGTGTCTGCTTTGGCATAGTTTAATATTAAAATAAAACTGAAAACTTTATTTATGCATTTTACTTCAGGATTAGTGTGCAACACACAGTAAGGCATTAATCTCAGAATCAAGATATTACTCAAAACAAATTTGCCATAAATGAACATAAATGTGCTGTGGGTGAAGTATGAAAGCTACCATTATTTTACATGTAAAAAATTGGTTCACAGCAATCACATTGAAAGACTGTTTTTACATTGTCTGTTGATTTTGTTAAACATGTTTTCTCCCAAACAATGTGTCATAAATAGATAAGAAAGTAGTACCTAAACATATTGTGATTCAAAAATCTAAAGATAACATGTTTGCTTACAGAGACTTGAGAGGGAAACTGTCACTCTTGTAAGGAGCGAGCTGAAGAAGCTGCATCAGATGTTAACTCCCAATTACCCGAAACCCCTTTGGACACATGATGTGATCGGAGACGTGTTTCATTGTGAGGAAAGAGAGAAGATCCTTACTGGAGAAGAAGAGGAGGTCATGAACTTCCTGAGGAAATTTTTGAGGATGATGAAGCTTGGAGACTTTGCTGATGCTCTATCGTCCAGTAGGAGAAAACTTTTCCTTTGTTTGTACAATGTTTTTTTGTATGCACACATCAATAGGACATTGGTGTGTGTGTCAACGTCACATCAATGTGACGTTGACCCACACATCAGTTTTAATTACTTTGTCCAGTTTATATTATGAGTAATTAGAATTACAACAAATTTGGCAGCCCTTAGTGTTTTACATGTAGCCTCTCAGCCTAGGTCTTCCATCACACAGAGCTGAGCTGCCAAGGACTTTTATTATGCAATAATAATAATAAAGTAAAAAACCACTACAGCAGGCTTTACCTACAGCCTGCTGAAAGGTAAAACAATACATTATACAACTGTGATTTTGAACACATCACTGTTGTATTTCACAGCAGCCTATAGAACAGCTAAAGGTTCATCACATGCAGAAAACCAAAAGATCAAGTGTCAAACTGACATATCAGTTTGGCCTGGACAAGTTAAAATCTTTAAAGGTGATACTTCCACAGGATGAGTAGGCAGATGAATAACAATATACAAAATGCTATATAGACTGATCCAGCATCTTTGGAGTGTAATGATTTATCCTGCATGTTGACTTTCTTGTGTAAAGGTCACTCTGTCAGGAGCCCATCTAAGGACAAAGATGAGTCACATGTGACCAAAATCTCTGAACTTGATGACCAGCAGCTCAAATCTGAGAGGTAAAAGTGCTGAACGACATCTGGTAACCTAAGATGCTTGTAATGATAATCTGCTTATAACAATATCAATATTTGAGACACTACATGAGGTTTAGTGCATGTGTGTATCAGTTTGTACTTCTACCATAACTCATTATTGCTTCAGGATCTGAAACTGAAAACATTACAATTTGCAACAAAGTTATTCATTTTGAATTTTACAGCAAATTTCCTTGTTGAATGTTATGTAATCAGTATTTTTTTTAATCTTTGATTTTAAATGTGTATTTGAGATATTCAAAGCTCTTTGGGATGTTGTTTTATAACTTGGGCCTTCTTTAAACTCAGACTTCTCCCTTTGTTCACTTTACATTTATGCACTTCTTTGTGTTCACTTAACAAATAGAAGGTCTTGTACTGGAGTTTTTGGTGTAATATGACCATAGTTCTGAAGATGTGAATATTTCTGCAGGTTGCTGTTTGATGGAGTCTCAATTATGTGCTGTTAAGTGCAAATCTAGCTATATAAATTGTTGCTTATGTGGGAATGTCTTTGATTTGTTTCAATCTCTTTTCAGTAATAAATTAAGACCTCAACTCAGAATCCCCCCAAAGGAAGACATGGACACAACATTTAAGGTCAGTAACTATAAGTGAACCAAATGAGGATGTTAGATAAAACAAATTTAAGTATCTATCAGACAATGTAAACTATTTGTCTCTTTTCAAGTTTCTTCTGTTTTTGTTTTTCTGTCCCAGATAAATATTTTGTATCATTAAACAATTTTTACATCAAAGATAACCTGTACAAAAGCAAAATACAGAGGCAAATGATTTAAACTGGTAGCAACAACTGCTCTTAAGTGTTTGTAATAACTTGAAATCAATATTTTATGTTGCCTTTTATACATAGTATTTGGAAATGACTTGCTATATTTGATCAGGTCTTTGCTCTTAAAATGTGTTTGATTATTTAAGTGTGACTAAAAAGCAAAAACAGCATATGTGATTTTTTTCTCAGCTCTGTTTTACTTCGCTGGTTTGTGACAAGAAATTACAGTTAGCATTATCCCTATTAATATTGAACAGAGCTGATTCAGCTCGATTGAGACATTTATTTCAGATTGTTTGAACATGTTTACTTTTATATTATTTGTCAGAGACAAGATGAATTTCTCCTTTTCACCTTGAAAAAAAATCAATTGCAATTCTGTTTCATTACAGAATCTTGAGGGGAACATTGTTGTCTTTGTTGAGAATGAGCTGAGAAGTTTCCATAAGCTCTTAAACAGAGAAACTGTTCATAGCCAAGATGAGGATGAAGAGGTGATAAACTGGGAGGAGGAAGAGCAGAAGAAAATGACCAAACAAGCTTTTCTGGACATGATCGTTACGTTTTTGAGAAGAATGAAGCAAGAAGAGTTGGCCTTTGCTCTACTAAACAGTAAGATGACCATACCACAATGTGAAGATTAAAATATTGAATTGAACATTATCTGTCAATTTTTCATGGTTGTTTATATCCAGTTGCTTTATCTGAGACAAATTGAGGGGTATGAAAGAAACCCAAAGACGGAAGGCATGAATAATACTTTTCCTACAATAATTTCGTTAAAGTACACAGAATTTTAAATCTGTAGAAATGTCAATAACGACCCAATATATGGGTCTTCATTAGTTAGAAAGCTCTTGTACTTTAAAAGAGATGAAAAGTAAAATTCCATAGCGTCTAATGCTTTGTTTCCTCATTTTACACATTTGCAGAAAGTGTTATGTCCAAAGGCCAATCTAAACTCAAATCCAACCTGAAGACGAGGTTCGCATATGTACTAGAAGGAATTGCCAAAGAAGGTCATCCAACCCTTCTTAATAAAATCTACACTGACCTTTACATAACTGAAGGACGTGAAGAGGTCATCAAGGATCATGAAGCGAAACAGATTGAAAAAACTCTCAGAAAAACAATGGACCCACTAACAATCAGACGTGAAGATATTTTTAAACCCATTACTGGAAGAGATAAACCAGTCAGAACAGTGATGACAGAAGGAGTGGCTGGCATTGGGAAAACAGTCTTGACACAGAAGTTTGCTCTGGACTGGGCTGAAGGAAAAAACAACCAGGACATCCAGTTCACATTTCCATTTTCCTTCAGAGGACTGAACATGGTGAAGGAGAAAAAGTTCAGTTTGGTTGAACTCATTCATCTCTTCTTCCCTGAAATCAAAGAAGCAGGAATCTGCCGTTTTGATCACTTCAGAGTTTTGTTCATCTTTGATGGTCTGGATGAGTGTCGATTTGCTCTGGACCTGAAAACCAAAGAGGTTCTGACCGATGTTACACAGTCTGCATCATTAGAGATACTGCTGGCAAACCTTATCAAGGGGAGGTTACTTCCTTCAGCTCGAGTCTGGATCACAACTCGACCTGCAGCGGCCCATCTGATCCCTCCTGAGTTTGTTGACCTGATGACTGAAGTCAGAGGATTCAATGACCCTCAGAAGGAGGAGTACTTCAGAAAGAGATTCACAGAGGAAGAGGAAAGCAAAATGGTCCTGTCTCACATCAAATCATCAAGAAGTCTCTACATTATGTCTCACATCCCTGTCTTCTGCTGGATCATTGCTACTGTTCTGGAGGATGCCATTAACGCCAGAGAACAAGCAGACCTACCCAAATCCCTGACAGATATGTATATCCTCTTCCTGGTGGTTCTGTCCAAGGTGAAGAATGTCAAGTACGACAAAAAAGTTGAAAAAGATCCCCTCTGGACTCCAGAGACCAAGGATACAATTCAGTCATTGGGAAAACTGGCCTTTGAGCAGTTAATGAAAGGAAACTTGTTCTTCTATGAATCTGACCTGACTGAGTGCGGCATTGATGTCAGAGCAGCCTCAGTGTATTCAGGGGTGTTCACAGAGATCTTTCAGGAGGAGAGAGGGTTTTTCCATCAGAACATGTTCTGCTTTGTCCACTTGAGCATTCAGGAGTTTTTGGCTGCTCTTCATGTCCATCTGACCTTCTTCAGCACTGGTGTCAATCTGCTGGCAGAAAAGAAATCAGTCTCACATGGGTCAAAGATAACTGATGAACAATATGAGCACTTCTACAAAACAGCAGTAGAGAAAGCTATAGATGCTCCAGATGGCAAACTGGATCTGTTCCTGAGATTCCTCTTTGGTCTTTCTTTGGACACCAATCAGAGGCTCCTCCACGACTTCGTGACAGAAAGAAAACCATCAAGCAGTTCCTTGAAAAACATAGTTGAGTACATCGAGAAGAAGATTGAAGAGATTCTGTGTCCCTTTGATAAAGCCAATTTATTTCACTGTCTAAATGAACTGAAGGAGCTTTCTTTAATGACAGAGATTGAACAAATCTTAAAATCAGGAAAACTGGAGACAGAAAATTTCACAGACGCTCAGTGGGCAGCACTGATCCACATTCTGCTGTCTTCAGAGGATTATGAGAAAAACTTTGATGTGAGAAAGTATTATATTTCAAATCGAGTTGAAAAGAGTTTTTCAGTATTCATACTAAACTCAACTAAAGCTGTGTAAGTCAAAAAGCAACCACACATTGCTTGTACTGAAATAAATTAGATGAACATTTTGTTTATGTATTAACTTTGTTTGTATTTAGACTCAGTTTCTCTTTCCTGGACAACGGAAGCTACCCGGTTATGGACTTTATTTTCAGCTATTCATGCTGTATGTTGAAAGATTTGGACCTGAGTAACAACGACATGAAAGATTCAGGCCTGAAGCTGCTATGTGAAACATTTTCCAAACCAGGCTGTAACCTTGAAACTTTAAGGTAAGTTCTTATCAGTAATTAAATAAATACCTTTTAAATGTTTTTAACAGTGTATTTTTTGGTCCCTGTCCATTTCTGTCCACCTCCACAATGTTACCACATTCATTCAACAGTGCAGTTTTTCAACAGACAACTTTGGATTCAGTAGCTGTTTTTTTATCAATGTTTTTTCCTGCACATTTTATAGTATTGCATTAAAAATGGTAAATGGAAATAACATCCAATTTCACCACAAATGCTTTTAGTAATAATTGAGATAGTTTTTGGCTTTCTCACTAAATAGTTTATTCACTAAAGAGTATATGAAACACATTTGCTGAATACATTCTGATTTAACAAACTTTTCTTTACACTGATGGGTCTGTACGTTACTAGAAGCTTGAATCTCAGGTCTGAGGTGGCCAGTGAGAGACTCACCTTCTCAGGATGGAAGTGGTGAAACCATTGTTCGCGATAATGTAATATTGTCCGTCTTTGATTTGTTTTTCTTAAAATTAATCCATCATTTTGAGAGAATTGGATTCATGCACCTGATCATTTGGTGCAGGCGCTCAGACATTTTTAACTTTACACACAATGTTTCCAAGTTCAAACCACCAGGATGGAGGAGACGACTCTCTTCATTTTTCTGAGATGTGCGATGCATGCTATTGCAACTGCTACATATTTTTTATTTTTTTACATACTAAACATCAACATCTGATGATGTTTGCTGTTTTCGTTTTCTTTTTTTGAGACATTTTAAAAGTTTGCTCAATATTTGCATTGCTAGTGTCTTGTCCAAGGGTTCTCCAGCACAGTGAGGAAAAGGAACCTGGAACACTCTGAGGGTGAAACTGTACTCTTCACACATTGTTTCTGTAAAATATATAAATGAGGAATGGAAGAACGCATGTAGAACACAATGATGACTGAATCATAAAACCTGAATGTGTGACAAGAAGTAATACCATGAATTGTATATATTTGTGTTTTATAGGTTGTCAGGTTGTTTAATCACAAAGGAAGGTTGTGAAGTTCTGGCATCAGCTCTGGCTTCTAACCTCTCTAACCTCAAAGAGTTGGACCTGAGTTACAATTACCCAGAAGAACATGGAGTGGCGCTCCTCTCTGCTGGAGTGGAAAACCCAGACTTGGCCTTAACGACTCTCAGGTACTGATAAGGATGTGAATTAGACAATGTCTACTTGTTATTAGGTCTATGATCTTTTCAATCAAACTAAATAGTTAAAATAGAATAAATATCAGAATGTGAGGATAACTTCATCTTCCATATCAGTGCCATACTAAACCAATTAGTGTAATCACAACTCCTTGATCACTGCTAACTTTGCTATAATGTTGTTCCAGGGTGGAGCCGAGTGGATCACAGTTTTTAGTACCTGGTCTGAGGAAGTGTAAGTATGGTCATTTTTAAGAAACAAATGGCAGCTCATGAAAAAATAATATTAATCTGATATTCTGATATGTAGGGTAATGGAAAAAAATACTTAATTTTCTGGATGAGAAGAAGTAGCATATTTATTAAACCGTTACAACAAGAGAACAAAAATACAGAGTCAAGTGAGTTTGTCAAGTCTGCTCTACCTGAGAATCGATTCTTTCTTTTTTGTACGTTGTTCCGGTCAGTAGATCTTGTGACAGCAGGTTGTCACTGCTTGTAATTGTTTCCCAACAAATGGAGAGAGAGGTTTGATTGAACTATAGTGGGACTGAATTTGTCCCTCAGTTGGTGGGTGGCCAGTTTGATTCCCTCTGCCTTTGTCATTGCATCCTTGGGCAAGACACTTCACCCACCCTGCATGCTGGTTGTGGTCAGCGGGCCCAGCAGCAATGTGGAAATGTCACCACTGTCAGTGTGTGCACCAATTGTGGCTACAATCCATTGTGTTAAATTTGGAAGAATGGCTGAATGTAAACACTTTATCTGGACTTAAAGTACTGTACAAGTACAAGCCATTTACCACAGGGGTGAAGTTTTGGATTGTTATGCATCAGGAATTTTGTGGAGCTCAGCATAAATATTTTTGCTATTTTCCTTTTTGTAAGAAACCGTGGCTGTTTGATGTTAAAGAAGACAGCTTTAATCCTGATACGTTCTTATTTTGAAAGTAACGCAAAGATGGGCTTGAGCATCAAGGAACAAACATATTGTTATAGTATTTATTGTATCTCATAAGATGTAGTGTAATTTTCATAAGGCACATTGAATGCAAATGGGCATGTCGTCAGACTGAGGGAGGTAGCTGGGAAAAGAACCAGTCCAAAGATCTTTACTAAAGACAAAGTGAGTTTGAGGAAAATATCTCTAATTCTGTTTAACAGACAAGTTCATGCTGATGTGCATCAAAATTCACTCAATGGTTATTGAATGGAGTTTGAATAATTCCTTTACCATAAGTAACCCTACATGTAGCTCTCATTTTGAGTGAAAAGGAACAGTTATTTTGAACTTTTTGTCTATTTTTGTTACTCTTTTACTTTTTAAAATAGAATGCTAAGCTTAATGTAATTACTTATCAGAGGGTAGGGCTCAGACACCAGGAGCACATATTTGAAATTGGCATTAATAATGACTGTGGAGGCACATTTCAAATTCAGTGGGGGAGACTTTATGTATGCTTCTGGCACAGAACATGTGACAGTGGACATGGGTTATCTGTAGAACCCATTTTTAATACAGCTCATAAAAATAAATGAATAAAAACAACATTACCAATGTTTTGTAAAATTTGTTTTAGAACAGAAGTTAACATCAATGCACACAATCCAGATAATTGTTCACGTAATGAAATGCTGCTGTCTCTCCATCAGATGCTGTTGAACTCATCCTGGACTCCACTACGCACAGAAACCTCACACTATCTGAGTTTAACAGAATAATGATGGTGGGACAAGGAGAGAAGCTCTCATGGTTTGGTGCTGAGGAGGAGCTGCTGGGCAGACATGGTCTCACTGGTCGCTGTTACTGGGAGGCAGAGTGGAGAGGAAAAGCTGCCATTGGAGTGACGTACAAAACAATCAGAAGGAGAGGGGAAAGGAATGGCTGTGGTCTTGGAGTCAATGATCAGTCATGGGCTTTGTTGTGCTCTAAGGAAGGATTCTCTGTTCTGCACTACAACAAAATAACTAAAATCTGTGTAGAACCTTCAAGCAAAGTTGGGGTGTATGTGGATGTGCCTGGTGGCACTGTGTCTTTCTTTGGGGTTTACCCTGATAAAATGACCTACCTTCACACCTACAACACCAAATTCACTGAACCTGTGTATCCTGCTTTGAGAATAGAAGCTGACCCCGTTAATTCATCTCTTACTTTGTGTTAGATTTAGTAAAGATTGTCAAGGTCAGAGTAGTCAAATTGAATCTGAATTTATTATTCCTATCAAACATTTAAAAAGGATTCTGGATCCTTATGAGTTTCTTCTGCACATAAGACGCCTTTAAATGTCATTTGAAAACACACTTCTTCTACTCCTGGCATCTTCTACTCTTTGACATTACCTATTCTACTTAGCCTGATTTTTATCCAATATTTGTGTGATTGAGATTTAAGACTGTTTTTAATTTTTTATTGATATTTTGTTTTTTACTTGTGCAGAACTTTGGTCAACCTAGTGTTTTTTTTTAAAGGGCTATATAAGTAAACATGGTATGGTATACAGTATGGACGTTCTTTCAGTATTGCTATAATGTGTTTGAATCAGTGTTGTGTTCAAGACCACCTAACCCGAGACCAAGACAAGACCAAGACCAGAGTGTATCGAGACCGAGACAAGACCA